TCCGCTCAGTGCGTCCTCACGGGGCCAGGCACTGGGAAGGAAGGATGGGAAAGGGAGCCGCGGCCCCTGCCTGAGGGCGGTTCGCCCTCCGATTCCTACTGACTCCTGTTTCTTTGGCATCTAACATATATATAGCAGGTGCTTGTTAAGGTTTTGAAGAAATAAAGGGAGATGAGAAGGAGAAGAAGGGGGAGGTGAAGAGGAGGAGTGAAAGGAAGAAGATGCAGATCTGTTGCAGGTGACAGGCGGTACCTACAGGGACGGGCAAAGATCGAGACGGGGGCAGGGCTGGCCCTTCAGTGACAGTGACGCCTGCAGGGGGACATCTGTGGCAGCCCGCACGGGACTGCTGCCGCGCGGCCAGGAGGCGGGGCCGGGCGCCGCCCTGCGGACCGCGGACTGCCACGAGCATCTCCGCCTCAGGAAAAGGGGGGAAACCTGAGGAAAGTGGCGATTTTGAAAGAAAAACCCAGGGTAGGACCTGAAAGCATTCACAGCCTGTTTGAAGGACCAAAGCTGAGACAATAAGGGCCTGGCCTTTGGGTTGCACAGCAGGAATGGAGAGGGAAGAGGGGATCTGAGAGACGTCAGGGAAGAAACTGGTGATGGAGCAGGTTCAAGATAAAGCAGGAGGCCCTGACTGGCGTGGCTCAGTGGGCTGGGCAGTGACCTGCAAAGCGAAAGGTCACCGGTCTGATTCCCGGTCAGGGCACAAGCCCTGGTTGTGAGTTCAGTCCCCAGCAGGGCTGCGTGTAAGAGGCAACCCATCGATGTTTCTCTCCCTCTCTTTCTCCCTCCTGTCCCCTCTCTCTAAAAATCAATTAAACATCTTTAAAATAAATGAATAAATAAATAAGTAAAGCATGAGCCCTGGCCAGCATGGCTCAGTTGGTTGGAGCATCCTCCCATAATCCGATAGGTCACAGGTTCAATTTTTGGTCAGGGCATGTATCTACATTGCAGGTTTGGTCCCTGGTCGGAGTGCTGACAAGAGGCGATTGATCGATGTTTCGCTCCCTCTCTCTCTTTCTCCTTTTCCCTCTCTCTAAAATCAAAGATCGTGTCCTCTGGTGAGGATTAAAAAAATACAGTACAATACAATACAATAAGAAAATAAGAAAAGGGAGGCCATACCAACTGCCAGAACGTCATGGGATAAAATGGGAAACTGAGGCAGAAAACCTGGGACAGACGATGCAAGGTGCGCTGAGTCTACCATGAGAACAGGACCTTACTCCTTGCTCAGGTCAGAGTGTCCAGGGCGGTGAGGTAGAGACATCAGCTCCTGCGGGGAGGGACCGGGTCAGAGTCACCTGTTTCTTACTGAGGCCTGCCTCGAACAGGTCTCAATAAATGTGTCACTAAACACTCTCAAGGGACTTCCTGTCGACTTCCTGTCTACTTCCTATAATACCCAGCCGGTTACAGAAAAAGGGTGCCAGGCTCATTCAAATGGCACTTCCTCGGAGCAGGAACCATGGGGATTAGGAAACCGAGGGTGAGGAGATGGGTCGGGGCGTCCTCTGGGCCAGGACCTGCTCTGGCCGCATGCTGTGTGTCTGGGGGTCTTGAGCTGAACGGAGAGGCCTCAAGGGATGTCCCGTGGGTGAAAAGAAGTGGGCCCGCGCCTCCCCCTCCTCTCCATCCACAGCACCTCCCCTTTCACCTGCACAAGAGACTGCCACGGGGCTTATGATTCTGTTTCTTAAAAATCGTCCCATTGATTTAAAAGGGAAAAAAATTATTTTTAGTGGCTTGCATTTAATATGCCAAAATTAAAATTAGACTGAGAAAGGAAACTGTCAATGAAAGCACTAACGTAATTTGCTAATGATGTGCTTTGGGTGGTTTTGGGGGGATTTTTCTGTGTGTCATCTGCCCCCAGAAACATCCTTTCCATAGAAGAGCTGGGGGGATCCACACACACAAGGAAGGAGAACCAGACTCCCCTCGGAAGCCTGCTGGGCTGGAGGGGCTGGAAACTGTCCTCAGTCGGGTCCACCCCTGCCCTCCCCTGCCCTTCAGCTCCCTTCTGGGGGCCCTGGGTCTTATTTGGGGGAGGGCTCTTCTCCCTGCCCTCCCCCCTGGCTCTGAGACACCCTCCCAAGTGAAATAGTCACTATCCAACGTCCACTGCCAAGGCCACTTCCACAGAGCACCACCTCCCCCGCAGCCTGCACCTTCCTCCAGAGCCTGGTTTCCATGGCGACATCCTCTCCTCCCTCAGGGCTCCACCCCTGCCACACGAGGGCACCTCCTCCTACTTGGGGGGTGCTTTCTGCGCCCAGCTCTCTGGTTACCCTCACCGGCCCCAGTGGGATGGAGGGCGGGGGTAGCGCTTCAGGGGTCCCCATTCATGGGCTTTCTGAGGCCTTGGGCACCGCGATGTCTCCGGCCTTCTCAGGAGGACCGCCAGGCTTCCCGCCGAAGACGTGACCGTTCTCTCAGATAACACACTCTTTGGCAGCCATTTCGGCTGTCTTGACACTGTCTTTGCAGGAAAGGTTTGGGGATAAAAGAAGGAACTGAGAAATCATCCTTAGAGCAAAAAGCAGAGGCTCAGAAAAGAGTGCTCCCCAGCTCTCAGGCACATCCCTTCTGCGCCCCTGCGCCTCTTCTTGCCCCTGCCCTTCCTCTTCCTCACTTTCCCCTGCTCCCCTCGCCTCCCTTCTCAGCCTCAGGCCCTTTCCCCCATCTCCTTCCTCTCTCACCTCTTCCCTCCTTCTCTCTCTTGTTTGGGTGCCAGAAACAGTCTAAGTACAACAGAGAACCTCAGGAGGCAAAGGAAAAAATAAAAAACCACCGCACATAGCTGATGAAAATATCCTATGAAATCTAATTTGCAAAGCTCACATCAGAGTAAAAAGTATAACTCCCACAGTTCAGGGCCCATTTGACTGTTAAGGAGGCTTCCCAAGGACCCAGCCAAGGCATATCAGGTTGCAGACCAGCCACCTGCCCGGCTGCCGCAGACCCTCGCGTGTGCACCCTGCCTCTCTTCTTGGGGGCTCTGCCACGCCTGCCGCCGCAGCCCTGCTCCCCTTGGAGCAACACACCAACCACTCCCTTCCTAGGGTCCGCGGAGGAGAGCTCAGCCCTAACTGTGGCCTGAGCCTGGGACTTTGTGTCCCCAAGGTGAGCAACTGCTGGTGTCTAGGACTTTGGGGGCCGCCCTGCCTCTTCCAGGTGGGGGAGGAGAGGCCCCAGCAGCAGCCTGCCCGCCAGGTCCAATTTTCCTGGGTTGTATGTTTGTGTCTGCAGAGCAGGGCTTGGGAAAGAAGGGAGGCTCAGAAGTCAGTGGCCCCTGCTCTGCCGCTCATCGGCTGTGTGACCGTGGGCGGGTTACTTTGCCTATCTGATCCTGGTTCCTTGCTGTAACATGGGGATAGCTCTGCCCTGAAGTGTAATTAAATAGATTACATCAGGGAAGGGGACACGAAGCGTGGCCACGCTGTGGGCAGGAGCTCAGTAAATATCATTGCCCTTTGTCCGTTCGGCTTGTGGCCTCCCGGGAACATGGACGGTCACAGCTCCCCCGCCTTCAGCACCCCCTCCGGCACCAGGCTTAGGGATCCGTGCGCAGCATAGCTCAGCCGATGAGAACATGGTCTTTGCTGCCAAAAATCTTGTGTTCGCAGCCCTAGTTCCTCGCCGAGACGCACCCTGGGCAGGTCAGTGAGCCTCTGAGGCTCTGGTTCCTAAGCCCCTCGGAAACGGGGTTGATAAGGGCCAGGTGGGGGCTGCAGCCACTGAAGGAGAGGTGCGCTCAGCACCTGGTAAGTAGGCAACGGCCTCAGACCCTGTGACTGTTTTTCACCTCCTTGCGCCTCATCTGGAAAATGGGAATAAAAATAGTACCTACCTCACAGGTTGGTATGAGGATGAAAACAGTAATGAGCTAACATTTTCAATCCTAGAGCAATGCCTGGCACATTGTACATGCTGCAGTGGCGGTTGTTCAATAAAACCTGAACTGGCCGCTTAGGTGGCTCAGTGGCATCCCCCTTTGAGGTGTCTACGGGAGCGGGGAGACAGGGGGTCCCAGCCATGACTTTTTCCTCAGGGACAGTGAGGCTGGAGTAGGGTCTGCTGCAGAAAAGAAAGAGGCAGGGAGGATGTGTGGAGAGAGAGCTGTCCCCTCAGGCCACACCCTCTGCCGCCGGGGCTCCTCCCCAACTCACCTGCGGCGTTTGGCCTGAGGCCCTTCCCGGGGCCACGCAGACAGTAGTACTAGCTCTCAGACCCTCAGGTTTAACCAAAACACGCCACTCCCCATGCCTGCTGTCTTCCTGAAGCCCGCCCCACACAGGGTGCTGCCAGCCGGGGTCAGGGGGTACACTCTGTCCTACCTCTGCCCTGTTACGGAAGTGGGTCCAAGCAAGCGGCGTGAAGTAGGAGTTGGCCAATGGAAAGGGGAAAGCATGTCTCACCCTGTCTGGGTGGCTCAGTTGATTGGAATGTCGTCCCATAGACCAAAGGGTTTCGGGTTCGATCCTCAGTCAGGGCACATGCCGGGGTTGTGGGTTCAATCCCCAGTCAGGGTATATATAAGAAGCAATGGATTGATGTTTCTCTCTCACATCGATGTTTCACTCTCGCTTTCTCTCTCTCCCCTACCCCGCCCCTTCTCTCTAAGAATCAGTGGACATGTCCATGAATGAGAATTAAAAAGGAAAGAAAGAAAAAGAAAAGCATGTCCCAAATGCAGCGAGCGGTGGGCATGGCCCATCTTGGGGGAGGGCGGCTGGGCCTCGGCCTGAGTGAGTAGGTGAGGGAGTGACGAGCTGCCGTGGGCCCAGCTCCTGAAAGCCGGGGTCCAGCTGGGGGCAATGAGGAAGCCACCATGGGCCCCAGGCCGAAGGGTGTGCTCGTGGCGGGCGGGCTGGGCGCGGTGGACATTTTCCCCAGGGCCAGCCCGGGCTCCGCTGCTGTCACTTGGGGGAAAGCCCTCCAGGCTCTGCCCCCTGCAGCGGCTGACCGCTGTGCTTGTCTCCCCCCAGGTCAAGTGTACTCCTTCAGCCAGCAGCCCCAGGACCAGGCCGTGGTGTCGGGGCAGCCGGTGACACTGCTTTGTGCCATCCCGGAATATGATGGCTTCGTTCTGTGGATCAAAGACGGCTTGGCTCTGGGCGTGGGCAGGGACCTCTCAAGTGAGTACCCCCAGACCTCCCCCACCCCCGGGAAGGCCTGAGACCCACCCCTGCCTTCCCCACCACCCTCCCAGGGAAACCAGCTCCAGCAGTCGGTGTGGGTCCCGCAAGCAGAGTCGGGCTGGGCAAGCCCAGGGTCCAGCGTCCAGGGAACTTTGAGGACCCCTCAGGCAACTGGTACTCAGCTACCCTTAAGCCCTCTATTCCGGTGATCGGTTCCAAACCCAACACGATGTTGCCCTTGACTGGCTGTTCTAAAATCAAACATGATTCCTGTCAAGTCAGATTTCCAGAGGTGACATGTTCTCGTTTCTCTGTCCAAAATACATTCCCCACACAAGTCACAACCTGGCTCTTCTGGGCTCCCATCCATCAAAGGGAGCCAAGCAGATTGAAAACTCACAAAGAAACCTGGTGATTTTTAGGGGTCACCGTGTGACAGCAAGAAAAGGAAAAAAAGTGTTTGAAATAAAATCCAAACTCTGCCTAGCCCCCCAGACTGGTATTCATCCAAGATGCGCCGGTGGGTTCCTGAGGCCGCTGATGGCTGGCACCTGGGCTCCCTGCTCAGCCTTGCCCAGGCACCTGTTACCTGTTGTGAATGTCAGCCCTTAAGCTCACAGACGTGTCTTTCCGATCCATCCTCTCCTCTGGGAGAAAAAAGCATGGGACCACCTTCCCGGTCTCTCCCCATCCACCAGCCTTCCTCTCCGCTGGGGACAGGAGGCCTGTGACCGTGTGCTGGGCTTAGCATAAATTGTAAAACTCAGGACAAGGGATCTGGGCGTCCCTGCGATTGGGGAACGGCAGCGGGCAGAGGAGGGGAGAAAAATGTGTATTTGACTGAGAAGCGGCTTTGCCTCTCGTGGCGTACAGCTACAGGAAAATGGAAATCGAAGCGCTCTCTGCAGCATGATGGTGGGGGAATTAATATTTTAAAATGTGAGTTATGTCTTGCCAAAAATGTATATTGAAAAATTATAGCAATGGTCAATAGCATCACAGGATTTGAGTGCTGCGGCCCAACTGAGCGTGGATGAAATACACAATAATATCTCCAAAATATATGAAGCTGCCATAAAATTTAAGTATTATGGGAACCAGCCACGTTCAGGGCCTCTGGACTCCCATGCCCTGGAGAGAGTAGGGGAAGGATATGACCTTCCCAGGCCGGACTCGCTTGCGCCCTGCACATCTTGGAGCCGGGCCCCGCGCCGTTGCCAGCTAAGGAGGCTCTTGGGGACCCCAGTCGCGGTTTTTAGCCTGCAGTCAGCAACTGTGGTCTTGTTGAGTCGGTGGCCAAGAGGAGGCTGCAGGTCCCCACAGATGGGCCATAGACTGGTCATCACTGCACAGATCATTGAGCCTCTGCTTTCATCTCCATGATCGGCTTTCTGGGCTCCAGGATCGGGTCCCTCTAAGCGCTGAAGGGCACTGGGCTCCGATGAACAGGGTCTCTGCTTCCTCTTCGCCTTGACTCCACTTATACAGAGAAGGTTGGCCGTCTCCTTGCGGAGCCAATACACCCCAAATCGTGATAAGAGGTTTCCTCTGTATTTGATCACCTGTTCCCAAAATAGCATCATGACAATAATGACAGACACTTACATGCCCAATAAAGACTGAGGAGAAAGTGAGAGAAATAGATCTCAATTCAATTCAGCAAGTATTTTGCAGAGCACTTAATACCACACCATTTTTCTGTGGGGAAACTGAGGCTCCATCTTGTGGGGCTTCCACCTACTACAGCCTGCATGCCGTCTACCAGGCATGGTGCCCTAAACAAAGAGCTCAGAGTTTTTCTGCTCACCTCAGCTGGAAAAAAAAAACAATCAGAGGAAGTGATTTATAAATATACTCCCTCATTATTGATAGAATGTTTTTCTTCTAAGAAGCTCAGACATTCTCTCATAAACCTACAATGATCCACAGAGAGAAAAAGGATTTTTTTCCCTTTATGCGACAGGTAAACAAAGTCACAGCTGAGAAAGAAATTGATTGAAACATACACGAAAGACCAGTGTCTGGAACCCTGGCTCCTAACCCCCAAAAGGCCCAGACATCGGCTCTGCTTTCACTCAGAAAGACGGGGGCCTCTTTGTCACCCTTCCTCATGGTCACTTTCATTTAAACCAGCATTTATAGACTGTCTACTAGGTGCCAGGCACGTTACATAAGTTATCCTGTCTACGCTCCACCAGAACTCTATGAGGTACCAGTTTTGTCCCCACTTTACTGATAACAGAAGCACAAAAGAAAAGCAACTAACCCAAGACACCACCTATGGGAAGAGACAGAGCTGACATTTATTTGAAGCCAGGTGATCTGACTGTAGAACCCAGACTCCCAATAGTTTTGCCTCCCTCAAGAGTAGCAAGAGAGAGTAATGATGCTGTGGAAGGAGCTAGAACTTCCTCAGAATCTGCGCTTCTGGGCTGATGTGTTCTGAAGATGCTGCCAGTGCTTGGGAGAGCATCACAGCTCTGCTGCCTAATTAGCCAAATACAAACAAACCCATCACTGATGTTTTCAGCAGCTCCTGAGAGCGAAATCGTGGCTGATCGCTTGCTTGCAAGACAACAAAAACACAAGCTCCAGCCAACATGCCTGCAGGGGCGCACAAGCTAATCACAGGCCAGCAGGACCCAGAGGCTGGGCTGAAGGGGCTGGCGTGGCCAGCCAGCCACAGCGACGGCAGCAGCACCAGGGAGAGGACGGGGATCTAACCCTTTGCCAGCCCTGGCCCTGGGGAGGGCCGCCTGGGCTCCTTCCCCAGGCCCAGCAGAGGGCAGGCAGGGTGGGCAGGAGGGGCAGCTGAAGGCGGTGCTCTAGGGGTAGGGGGGCGCACAGCTGGGTGTCCTATGAGCCTCTCTGGCCGGGCCTGAGCAGCCACGGAGGGCAGGCCATTTGATTGCACATTGGGGATGATGCTAGCCATGAAGACATGAGCCTAAAGGGCTCCGCGGCACAAGGAGCGCCCACAAAACACACTGGGAAAGCTGGCAGAGAATGACAGCTATCTTCAGGGACCAGGAATGGGTGGGCCTACTTCGCCCACGCCCCAGGGAGCCCTGCCCTGACTCTGGAGGACCCTTAGCTCACGGAGGTAGCAGGGGCCTCAAAGCTCCAGTATTTTTAATCGGTAGAAATCTCTGCAGTGGTTCCTGGCAGTTGATCGCACAAGCCCTGCTTGAATACAGCCAGTGACTGAAACCTCACTACCACGCCTGGTAGTCAAGAGCCTTGTTGGACACCTCAATTTTTTAACAATATTCTACGTTTTTCCCCATGATACTTCTGCCCATTTGTGTTAATGTTGTCCTTGGGAGGAACAAAAACACATCTAACCAACACGGAGAGACTTGGAAATGTTTAAAGAGAGAGCAATTGCATGTCCCCATCTGTCCTGTTAATATCTCTCACTTGCTTAAGCCCTGGTCTCCTCTTTTAAAGGCCAAATGTGTTCCATCCTCCCCTCCTACTGCACCTTTCTGAGAAGTGACACTGTCCTGGTGAAGGCCTGTCGGAAAGAGGAACAGTTTGGGACTGCTCAAGGGTGGGCAGGCCTCTGAGGAGAGAAGGGGACCAGGACAGGGAGGCAGTGCCCTACGGGGGACAGGAGAGGGGAAGAGCAGACCTCAGGCAAAGGGATGGGTAGAAGCAGACCCCGCTGGGGGAAACTAAGAGGGTTTAGGACCCAAGACCCTGTAAAGAGGGGTTCTGCCCGACCTGGTCAGCTACAACTTCTGTTGGCATTTGTATTCAGTCCTACACAGCAGCAGGGGAGCTGATTAATGATTTATCATGCTCAAGCCTTTATTTATCTATTATTCATCTCCACTGGTATAAGGGGCCCCAGATCCCTAAGTGTCCTTATAAGTGCTTAATCAGACCCTGGGGTTTGGGGGTAAGCAGAGGAAGTGATGAGAAAAGGGCTGCTTATCCTTCAAAGTGACCCACGGTTCCTGGGCACTGGTAGGGTGGACCTAGATGGTCTATCCCGAAGCAAAACTTTTCTCCAAAGTCACTCTTAATCCTTTCACAAATATTTTTCTGTTTTATTCCTTCTCTCTCTTCTCCCTCTCTCGCCCTCTGTCTTCTCTCTGCCTGTGGATCTCAGCCTGGCTCTGTCTCTCTGTGTGTGTCCTTATCAAAATGCATGTCTCCTTGGTAAACCATGCTGCTGAGTGCACCGCTTTCTGGAGTAATAAGCCCGCTGAGTCTGTCCCCACTTAGCATTTCCCTCTCCATTCTCTCCTTTCCTCTCTGACAACAGCTCTCCCAACATTCCTAGACTTAAAATCAGCAATTCCCTCATCCACACACACTCGAGCCCAACACTCCGGGGAAACTCGCGTGTCTGGGCCCCTCACACTGAGATGGGGCCCCGAGCAGCTGCCGGCTCTGCCAGCCCTAAGACAGTCCAGCCCCTGCCACTGTCCTGTTGATCAAGGATGTCACCTCCACCTCTGGACCAGCCCCCTTGATCTGCCTGCTGTCCCCACAGGTTACCCACAGTACCTGGTGGTAGGGAACCACCTGTCGGGAGAACATCACCTGAAGATCTTGCGGGCAGAGCTGCAAGATGACGCCGTGTACGAGTGCCAGGCCATCCAGGCCGCCATCCGGTCCCGCCCCGCACGCCTCACTGTCCTGGGTAAGAACTGGCCGCGTGTGGGGCAAGGACACTACAGGGGGCACCACAGGCTCAGTTCCAGAAGGTTCTTTCCGGCATGATGCAAGGGGTTCCCAGTGGGCAAAGCCTCAGACGTTGTCCCACGGGGCTCGGCCACTGGCCCCACTGTGTCCGTACCCCGCTCCCCACCACAAGGGGAGAAGTGCAGGTTCCTGCCCCAGACATCAGAAGGCCAATGCCACTTTCCCTGTGACCTTGTCTTCTCCTTGTGGTTGACTGCAGCTCAGGGAGCAAATAAGGGCTCCTGGGTGCTTGTTTATTCCATCAGAAAACCTGGTCTTCGTGCGTAACCTGTCAGGCTCTGTGCTAGGCGACAGAAACAGACAAGAAGGGGACACCTCTTTGAGTCACCTCTTTCTGGATTGACCTCCCTCAGGATGCTAACAAAGCCCCATCTCGCTACTTCCCCTGTCATAGATTCCCCTCACCTTGCTTGCCCCTGTGATTTGAGCATTCGTAGGGACCACTGCCGCCCCATTCCTGGCCCTCTCTCCCCTTCCCCCCTCCCTGCTCCTGGGAACCCTGGGTTGCCTACGTCAAGCCTGGAAAAACTCATTCCAGGCTCTTATTTCAATTCATACCTTTGCTCTTGGCCTCTCTTCTTCTTGGCTTCCGGGAAGACCCGTGTGCCTGGGGACACCCTGCCAGAACAGATGTGCCCCCTCCCTCACTGGGGCAGACCTGCCGGAAGACAGGCTCACTGCCTCTTCAATGGCTTCACCCCGTCACCTCCTTCCTCCGGAGGGAGGTCACTGAGGAGCCAGGCCCCCTGGGAACACAGCCTTGCACATAAGTAATAATATCTCCATTTATATAGCTCTTGACAGCAACTCTCAAAGCACATTCACTTACACTTCCCCAGCTGCTTTGATGCAAGTCTGTGGGGCAGAATTGTTGCCCCAGGTGAGAAACTAAGGCTCTTGAGGAGCAGAGGGCCCGGGCTGGCGTCTCCTGGCTGGCGTTCTGTGCGCCAGCTCCCTGCCTCCCTAGGGCGCCTCTGCCAGGCCTCCTATGGGATGGCAGTCAGCAGCTGGGGGGCTGGGGGGGGCTGGGTTCTGCCCTGCCCGCCTCCCTGAAGCTCTGCTGAGAAGCTTTGACAACAGGGTCAGCAGCCGGGGTGCCGCCCCCTCGCCTAGCAGATAAGGCACACAGCCACTCCGCGATGAAATATTTACACGCATGTCAGGTTATCTTCAGATCTACACGGCTGGCGCACGGGCAGATTGGCCCAGCACAGCAGCAGGCAGGCCCCGGAGGAGCACTTACCGAGCTCAGAGCCTGGCTTCCTGCAACGGGGAGGAGGGGCTTGGGCCGACTCAGGACCCCCTGCCACCTTTGCGTCTCCTCTGGCCTGCGATGAAAGGGAGGAGGAAAGCGAGCCGGGTCCAGAAGAGTGAATAAGTTGGGGCTGTGTGGTCAGGAAGTGGGCCTTCAGGAGCGTCAGGAGGGCCATGAGAGGCTGAGGCAGCCATTCCCACCTCTCCTGAGACAGGGATGAAAATGGGGATGGGCACGAGGGTTGAGGGAAGAGAAAAGGAGGATTTAGTGCCAAATATGTTGTCTGGTTTTTGAGGCTTGCAAAACCCCGGAATAGATTTGCTAAGCGAAGTTGCAGGATCTTCATCTTCAGAGGTTATTCAGCCCCATCCTCGGGAGGATCTGCCTTCCGCTTCCTTGTTCCCTGCTGGAGGGGACCAGAGATGCTCACATGAGCAGGAGCTGGGCGTCACCCGCTCGCGCTTCACGCAGGCCCTAGAATAAATAGATGGAGGTGCGTCTTATCCTGAAGTGGTTGCCCCAGTCTCAGAGCTCCACCGAGCCCTGGATTTACAGGTTCCTTTCCTTCAATCACACTTAGGGAACAAAGTCCAAATTACTCCAAATGTCTGACAGATAAGGAAATCAAGACGCACCGAAGCAAAAGCACTTACAGGAAGTCACGCAGCCTAACTATGCTCAGGATGGACCCCAGATTTTCCATCGGTGAGCCCAAGCTCTCTGCTCGGCCCCCATGTCCCTAGCTGCTGGCAGAGTCTCCTTCATTGGCCCGTTAGGAGCCAGGCTTCTGGGAGCAGGGCCTCGGGCCTGACCCCAACAGACTTGACTGTCTTGGGTCACATGGCAATAGCATTCGCTCCCCCTCCTCCCTCTCTGGTGGCACTGCCTCTGGGCACAGAGCTGGGTTTGTGTGGGGAGAATGTTTCATTCAAGCATGGGGCGCAGGTGAAGAAGCAAGAAGGGGAGCTTCCAGGGGACCCCAGCAGGGTGGCCTGGGCAAGATTCCTGAGAGCCAGAAAGCAGGCCTGAGCAGCAACGTTTCACGCAGGCTCCACAGAAACACCAACTCCCCGCGAGAAAGAGCTTCCCTGTAGGGCTCTGCCTACAGCCTTCCCGGCTCCTCAGGGCCACCCAAGGCCCCCACCCCTGAGGTGGTCCTGCAAGTCCCACCCCTCACCTAGTCGGTAGGTCCCCAGCCCTCGGCTGCTTCTGCAGGGCTCTGCCCGAGGGGCCCAGCCTGGCTGGCCTTCTCCACAGTGGACAGCCCCACCTACTGCCCCGGAGGGAGGCCCTGCAGGCAGAAGCTCCCCCAACCTTCGGGAAAGCAGGCCCCGGTCTGCGCACGGTGGTGGGCAGATGGGCAGACAGAGCAGCTGTTCCGGCCGAGGGGAGAGGGCTGCTCCCACCCTGCCCAGCCAGCTTCCCAGCCAAGACCCCATCTGCTCTGCTGTGACATCTCAGCCTGGGAAAATGTCCCAGCCTGTTCCCCAAGGGGGCAGGGGGATGGCTGCCTTTCCTGTGTTCCAGGAACGAGAGAGCTTCCTAATTTAGTCTGTATTTGCCTGAGATCGATTTTTAATTAAATAAAGTAAGAGCCTGATTAGAACCTGCGGAAGATGTGAGAGCAGAGTCAGATGGTATTCTGGCAAAACTGCAAAGCAAACACTTTGGCTGGAACAGAGGGAGACCCCCAGGGGTCTTCCATCAAAGCACCAAGTGAGGAGGGCAAATACGAGAGACCGTATAGCCAACAGATGTGCATTGTAAAAATATGCGTCTGCCCACACTGCTCGGAGAAGCCGGAGGGCCAGATCACAGAGCCTGCCGGGCTCCAGGGAGGGCACGGGGACTCGGGCCCAGCAGCCAGGCCTCGAGTCACAGACATATTAATTAGCCTTGTGTTTCCAGCTCTCAGATGTAATCAGGCGAGGAGCAATGTGGAGCTGAGCATTTGCCACCCCAGGGGGCGGAGGGAGGGAGGGAGCTGCGGGGGTGGCGCCAGGGGCTGGGCTCGGGAGGCTGAGCCAAGCGAACACTGGGGAGGCCGGGCCAGGTTGATAGGCTGCATTTCCTCTGTGACTCAGCCACCCAGCGACCATGCCCCAGCCCAAGCCAGCTCGAGACATGCGTCTTCCCGCCCCCAGAACATCTGGCAATCCCGGTCCTGTGGAAAGAGCAGCAGCCCTGGTCCCACCATTAACCAGCTGTGTGATGTTGGCCCTGTTACTCCGCCCCTGGGGGTCCCGGTTGCCTCATCTGTACACCGAAAGTGGTGATAAATAAGATGACCTCTCAGAACTGTCCAGCTCCCAAAACACATGACTTCTGCAATAAGGACCCAAACGTCACAGCAGCTATTTTGGGAAAATGCTGTAACCTGCACAGGACCTGGGATGTGTGCGGTGACAGACAGTGAAGGTGACTGCTTCGGGTGAGGATGGAGATGAGGCCTCTCCAGCCCTGTCCCGCCCTGGGATTCTGAAGGCAGCTCTCCGCCTTGACCTACAGCCCTTGACCGCGCGCCTGGGCAGAGCTAGGGGGCAGGAGGAAGAGCCCTGGCTGGGGAGAGGGGTCCCTGCCTGCAGTTTGTCACTGTGTGACCTGGGCAGGTCCCTAGGGCTGCACTGGGCCTCTAGGCCAGTTCTCTGTAACCAGCACTTGGTACTCAATAATGTTTGAGGGTTTTTAACAAATGAGGGAAGGAAGGAAGGGAGGAAGGAAGGAAGGGAAGGAGGGCGGGAGGGAGGGATGGATGGGGGAAGGAGGGAAGGTAGTTAGTTAGTTTCTGGTTCTTAATCTATAAATAGGGATAATAAAAATACTAACCTTCTAGAATTGTTGTGATCATCAAACACACACACACGCACCCACACACCCACGCACGCACGCATGCAGACTGCCCCTTCCCCTGCCTGCGGGGTTGAAAATATCTAAACTGTGCCAGGGCCAGAGCTGAAAGGGGGGCATTGCACTCGATCTGCCTGAAAACTCAGGAAGCAAGGAGTTGAGGGACCCAGAGCAGGGAGGATTGGATCAACAAATATTTACTGAGCACATATTATGTGCCAAGCATGGATCTAGTGCTTGAGATGCATCTGTAAACAAAAGAGAACACCAGCCCCGGCCCTGGCAGGGCGTGTGTTCTAGCAGGGAAACAGACAGACACAAATAACAAACAGATTAAACAAGTGAACTGTGTAGTTACGTCGGATGTCAGCTGGAATAAGCGCTATGAGAAAGAGAGGGGAGAGCAGGGTGAGGGGGACTGGAAGCAGGCGGGGAAGGGTGGTGGATGTCAGATTAATTATTTAAAAAGGTATTTCCCCAGTCTTCCTTCCCCTCCTCTCTTCTTCCTGGCCCCTTCTAATATTAACTCTGCTGTCTTGTAGCTTCCATCAGAAACAAAGCTTCCTAAACCAACATGAATTATTTAACATAGAGACCAAATCAGTTCAAACAAAGAGGGCGTCTTTAAACTGATGTCAGGCCCCGAATACTGAGAGGGGAGAACAGATGAGGTCCGACGCGTCCTTACCTTGTGCCTTTTTCCAGTCCTCGAGCGCCCTCTGCACCCCCTCCACCGGGGGAACCGCCCGCAGAGCGCTCTGGTGGAGGCGGCCGCACCCCGCACTGCCCACCCCCTCACCTCGGGGAGGTGGGTCCAGAGCGGCAGTGACTGACTC